GGTGGCCACCAGGGAAGAGGAGTTTGCCTTGTCCTGGTTCCTGAAGGCCTCACCCCAGGGCTGGACCAAGGTCTTTTGTCCGTGCTCAGCTGCCTCCAGACCCCCTGCCACTTCCCTCAAGGGCAGCGGCTGCTGGAGAAATCTGCCCGCCAGGTTCTCCTTGGTCTTCTCGGGACTGGGTTCACCTGCAGAAAGGAAGGCGAAGTGATTGCTGTAATGAGAAGGACGCACAGAAAAAATAAAAGTGGGAAGGGCTTGAACCGAGTGTGTGTGTGAGAGAGAGGGAGGGAGGAAGCAAGCATGAGAGCCTTTCCACACCAACTCCGTCCGTCAACTCCGCGCGTCCAAGGACTGGGAGTGGCCCCAGAGGCCCCTGGGGTGTCCCTGACTGACCTGTGCCCTTTTGTAAAGGGGAGGCAGACGGGTGGAAGCGGAGTCTCCGGGAGCCACCCGGCACCGCCTCCATTGGGGGAAGGGCCGTTGCAGAGTGACAGGTGAGGCCTGGGAACCACTCACCGTGGGCCCCCGTGTGCATGGCGGGGTGCAGCCTGCAGAATGCTCTCACGGGACCCTCCCCCCATCCAGGGGCGAAGACTGGCGAGAAGAACACCACTGCTTAAAGGAAGGCAGTCCTGCCCAGGCAGATGGTGTCAAGGGCTGAGGGGACATTCTCAGCTCAAGACAGTAAGGCCTTCCGCTTCCAGCGAGGCCGGCACAGACGGACGTAGCCCCGATGCTGCACTTGGCTGGTGTATGCTCAGATCCAGGCGTGGCCGTGCTTTATCCCACCTGTCACCACCGCTCCCTCCCGCCGTGAAATGAGGCCGCCAGCGCCAGCTGTGTCCTTGGGAAGGGGATGTGATGGGGGCGGGCGGCAGCCTGGGCCCCTGCAGATTCCATGCTGCTAACGGCAGGAAATGCCTTGAGAGGGCAGGCTCGCTGTCGGCTGAGGTGCCTGTGAACTCCATCCAGGGATCACTTGGGCTGAGCGCCTGCTTCGCCTGAGGCACCAGGAGGCTGGAGGCTGGGAGGCTGGTCACAGCCGGCATGTCCGCCAGCATCCAAACCGTCTTTGCTTTCGTTCCTACCACCTCGCTGGGAATTTTGCTGGAGGAACAGGCACAAGTTGTCCCTCCTGAGTCCTTTGTTTCCAGCAGGCTTCAGGGGCCCCGTAAGGCCAGCAGAGCTGCTGAGGTGCCAGTGACCGTGACCGGCCTGGTTCCCCCCGGGCTGGTGCACGGCGGGCTCAGTGTTGGTGAGCAGCTGGAGCAGTGGAAGCAGCAGCCTTTCCGGAGGGCGGTGCTGAGCTGCACTGGGGCTGTGCCGGAGGTTTTGCTCCAAGAGCTGCAGCAGCCGGCTCCATGCACTCAGTCTGCGGCTCCTCCAGATCTCCCCGGGAGGAGCAGGACGCGGAGCAAAACAACAGTCCCGACCCCGCTCCCAGCCACGGTGAACGCCCACGGAGGACGGAGGACGAGAGAAGCTCTTGAGGAAATGCAGCCGCCTAATGGGAAGCTCTTGG